TTGGACCTTCATGGTGCCAGTCTGTCTCTACCGACGTATCAGTATGCGACTCCAAACATGTACCCATAACGACTTTAACAACATATTGTTATATATGACATGCTTAATAACTTTAAACATATAAACACATAACGTGCACATATAATTCTTTTTTTAAATATCATAAATGTATACATAGGCACGTATCCCATGCATGAAAATCAGAAGAAACTCACCGCGCCCTTGACCTGTCTTGATTAAGACCGTAACCTATCTAATCAAAAGTGGGGTCTTACTGTGCAGGGTTAATAACTTTGTTTGAAGTTACATCGACACGCATTATACCTCACATGCGCACACACACACACTAATTGTCCAACCATAATATTAAACGCTACAAACAACTTATATTGCATTAATGAACAATCTGCTTGATCAGTGCAGACACAGTCCTAAGGCCCCAACAATGTCCTGTGCACCTGCTCAACCAATTTTCATAAGCAAAACTTTCTTAAGGTATAAAAGGTATAGACACTATACTTTGAGGGGTGCTTCAGCATACTAGAAAATACAAAGGATATCAACCAAAAAACCGGGAAAAAGCCCTCGAAATCAACAAAAAAAATCGTAAACCTCGAAAATGTGGAATTTGGCTAGGAAGACATGAGACAACTTTGGGTTGGGGGTCTATGATCTAACTTAAAGATGTACTTGTTACTGTTAGGCAAAAATAATGGATATGGCACTGTACTTGATACCAATAGAGGGTCTAAGGGGTTGTTTGTTTACCTCTTAATAATTCCATTAAGAGACAACATCTGAATCGTTAATAGATGAATCTTCTTTGGCAAAAAAAAGTTTGTCTTTTAATGGTTTTAAAACCCTCTAAATGATTTTGAATAATGGATCTCCCTTAACTATTAAGAGCCCTAATTTCATTGTACACAATTACCAAACAATTATATTTCATTTTGCACTATATCATGAGAGCCTATTAATCATTCTGACTACTTAATCATTCTGCACCAAACCATTAGCAGTTGTCAAACAGTCCCTAAGCAACCTTAGATCTTCTTCAACTAAACACTAAAAACTCAAAAATGAGGTGTTTTTATCTTCAACCATTTTTAGTGTCCGGGTTGGAGATGCCTTTGAAGCATCTTCAAAAGATTTTCTAAAATGGAAAAATCAAAAGTCAAAATTTACAAAAAAAAATTATTCTCATCTGTAACAGCTTCTCCAATTTAATAAAAATAAAAAAATTATTTTCTTTTTTCCTTAGTAATTATTTTTGGGGCGTTTTTCCAAACGTGGATAATTTCACCCCCTCTCTCATACTTTCTCTATTTTGAAAAATATGTTAAAACAAAAATCTCGATTTTAAAGAATCTATCGGAGATGCTCTTATACACATTACTTCAAACTCGTTTACCAACTTGCTTTCACTAAAGACGGCTTCAAGCAACTCGCGCCCACTATCACCTTACGCGAGTTCCAACTATATTTCAATCTCACGTTCATAAGCAATTAGGCATGAGAATTGGCCCCGACCCATCGGGGAACCCGGTCCACCCGCCCCGGTCGGGGACGGGGATTTCCATTAAACCGGGTCTTGGGGACAGGGGACGGGGATTCCCGTTTGGCTCAAGCCGGGGATGGGCCTGTACCCGTATATATATATATATATATATATATTAATAAATTATATTATTTATTTCTATTAAATCGGTAAATGGTAATTTCTATTTCAATATATTTTGGATATTACTATATGTGGTTTTGGATATTACTCGATATGTTTTGCTACATGTGACGTTAATTTTTTTAGATTTTTTTTTTTGGTTTTCCATTGTTAATTATTATATAATGATGTATATTTTTTGTATTAATTTAAATTCCTTTTGATTTTAGGTTTATTGGGAAAATATGAGATTTAAACATGTGTAACGTCTCACACAATTGATTTAAAAAAACACAAACATGAAAAAAAATCCTCGTTTCCCAACGGGGGACGGGGATGTGATCAAATTCCCCCGTGGGGATGGGGACGGGGACGGGCATCCCATCCCCGCCCCATTACCATCCCTATAAGCAATTTCCTATGCGACCATCAACTCGCCTAGATCATCATCTTAGCAGACCTCGACACGACCTTACACAACTCGTGTTCGAATATGCTATATTTCATAAAATGTCAACTTTGTGACCTTAATTTTATTAATGTCGTTCTAGATATTACAGTCAGCATACAAACGACAAACTTTTCATTTTTTATGTGTTGGATACATCACATTATAAAATCTTTATCGAATTAACGCGTAGATCTAACAAAAACGAGAGTTTGTTTCCAAGTTCAATGTCTTTTACTTTTATGCCCACGCGTGCAAGGAGACTCCACATAACAATGCAATGGATTTGAACCCCAAAGTTTGAAACTCTCACCCTTTTGAGTTTCAACTTATTCTAAAGTAAAAGTACCAACATGTTTTTCTTGTTATATTCAAATTCAAACTCCAACAGTGTCTATTTGGTTTAATTAGAAGGATACTCGCATAATACAATGAGATACATTTTGATTTTAATATTTTATTTTTTATCTCAGTCGATGTTATAGTATCAAATTAACTATTTAAAAAATTCTTATATTTTTGTGTAATTTTTTAATTCAATTTTTTTTATTATAATTTAATTTAGATTCAATAACGAAGTAGTTTATATTTGGTTTCATAATATAATTTTCTTATAAAAATATTAATTAATTATTTTGTTATAACTTGATAATTATCCGAATTAGATTTTTTTATTTTAAAATGAGATGTTTATCCTTTATTTTATTATGTTCATCCGCAGTTAGTTACACGAATTCAAACATGAAACTTTAATAAGTTGTACTTATGCATAATTTACTTGTAATCTTGAATTTTAGGTAATATACATCAATATACAGTACTTCATGTATAAAANTCAATAACGAAGTAGTTTATATTTGGTTTCATAATATAATTTTCTTATAAAAATATTAATTAATTATTTTGTTATAACTCGATAAGTATCTTAATTATATTTTAGATTTTTTATATTTTAAAATGAGATGTTTATCATTTATTTGATTATGTTTATCCGTAGTTAGTTACACGAATTCAAACATGAAACTTTAATAAGTTGTACTTATGCATAATTTATTTGTAATCTTGAATTTTAACTAATATGCATCAATATACAATACTTCATGTATAAAAAATAATTTTTAAGAGTTTTTGTCAAATACTTTATAATACAGTATAGATGATTATTTTTAGGAATTCAGATTTCATAAAAGGGTTTGAAAATTTTGGTATATTTGGTTTATAGAATATGGAATTAAACGGAATTTTGTTCTTTGTAAATAATTTATAAAAATAAATTGTAAATAATTATTAAAATAATCGAATTATTTTTTTATTAATTGAGAAAACGGATATTTTTAACAAAGTTAAAATGTTAATATATATATATATATATATATATATATATATATATATGAGAGAGAAGTTTTGTTAGGAATCCACAAACCTATTTTCACCATGATACATATCCTTCTTCATGATGATTATGAACATATTATTTATTATGTCGAAGTATAATCTATCATAAATCATATACTATTAATTAATATATCACAACATTTATAATGAGTAACAAAATCATATTTCTAATAAATACATCACCTACAGCGTTACAAAATGTCTCCTCGTTCCTAATAATTTTAGGTTTCCATCAGAATCCGCTTATTTATGATATAAAATTATTGGCTCCAAAAATCAAAAGTATCAAGAGATCTCAGGTTCAAATAAAAAAAAACAAAAATCTTCCTTATAGATATCCAAATAAATAAATAAATAAAAGTATCACGGATTCGATGCGGTTCCATGTGGGTAATGGATTGGACATGTATGGAAATGGAGGTGGTATGTTCCATGCCACCTTTTATTAAACTAAATTTAAAAATCTAGAAATGGATTTGTTGAATTTTCAAACTTTTCTGCGTTTTTTTGTATTGTTCCCACATGAAATCGACCAGCCTACATTTTAAAATCGCCAAACAACAGTTACTAGTGTCAGTGTCAGATACCAATTAGAGTGTCAGGAATCCTAGAAAACAAAACCATTCCAATCCATGCACATTCATGCCATTCCCATCTAATCCATTATTACAAATTTCACTCAAATTACAATTTTTTTATTTACATATATCTTTTTTTTTTATATAAATTTGAGTAATTTTTTTTAATCTAAAAATCAAGTTTATATAAATACGGTTAAAATTGAAATTCGATTGAAAAAATTGGTTAAAAAGTAAATTTGATTGAACGGGTTGACTACGTTGGTCAATTATTCCCAATATCATCTTATGCATCCAAGATTTAGCAAACTCATTTATAGATCAACTAGATATGAAAAATGGGCAAATTACATGAAAAAATAACGTATTTTGAAAGTACGTTATCTAAAATTGAAGTTTTAAAAATACGTTATCCAAAATAAGAATCAAGTTAAAAATACGTTATTTTTTCATATAATTTGCTCATAAAAAAATAAACAAAGTGAAAAGAAAACCAATTTAAAAGGGCGTAATATATCTACAATCACATGAGTACCAATATATGTACGGAAAGCTCACGACATGTAACCACAAGGGTGGTGGCTGATTGGTTTAAACTTGGCTCCAAAGATAAAAAATGTCTGGAGGTCTCAGGTTCAAATCCAAGAAGAAACAAAAATCATCTTGTGACCACGGAGGTTCAAATGGTGACTCCAAACTACATGCAAAACAGATGGTCGTCCTAGGATTAATCGACTCACATAACGAGTTGGATATCCAGGTTAATAAAAAAAAAAAACTAACGACATGCCAACCCCAAATTCTTTCATTGGGGTTTTGAATACGACTCCAAAGATTTTAAACATTATTTTCGGTTTTTATTTTTAGATTTGTATTTATTTCACTTCCATTTTACTAACAAAACATTTAATACACAATAAGTACTAAGAAGATATACATAAAATTCTCAATTTTTTTTTTCTCTTTTCACGTAAATAAGTAACGTCCTAAAGGTTATGAGTACCACGGTCCACCACCACCACATGACGGCCCACCCCACCGGCCACCGCCACGTCATCAGGAGCAAAAGGTCGGTGCTCCATGCCACTTTCCTAATCTCTTTCAAATGCTTTCAAGTCCCTTGATGTTTTTATAGGCCCACATGAAATTAGAGACGTCTAATCTGAGTATGGTCAAACCCTTAACTCAAATACACTTGACACTGTACAACGGTTTTACCCGCCTTGAACCCCGGGACCACCGTGAAGGCCACCTCCGCCGGCGAGGCTTTTGGTGGTTCTTCATTTACACCCTCCATGAACACCTCCGTGAACCGGCTGCCTTTTCTCACCTGAAACGTGGCGGCCGCCGGATCAAATGCGAATGCCAAACAATGGAGGAGCCAAACCCGTTTCGCAATATCGGCGAACGATGAAAAGAACGTCGTTTTCGGGAATTTTCCGGCCGCCACGAGATCTCGTTGATTCAAGTTCCCGAAAAGAGAGAATTCCATTACGGGATGAACGAGTCTCAGGTACTTGGACCAGCAAAATTTCGTGAACAATGACTTTGGTTTCCATTTAATGTACTCTTTTGCTTTTAAGGATTTCAGTTCCATGAAATTGTCGATGAAAAACCGTTTATCGTTGGGCGGAGATCGGGAATCGATGGAAAAACCCGGGTGATTGAACCCATCGAACATCACTCGACAGATAAATGACTCGAATGCGTAGCATTTATGGGTGGGATCCGAGTAAACAACGTTCGGTTGGATTGAACTCGCAGCTGCATCCAAATCCCAATTGGCTGATTCCATTTCACCGATCATAAGCCTAACGAAACTTCTAATGCATTTTGTCGTTTGTCGAAGATATGATACGAAGTCGTTTGCCAATGGAAAATGAAGCTTCTCATCAGGCAATAAAGGCCCGCTTGAGTTTAATCTCTTCTCGATCGACTTATTTTCTCTATTGGCTTCGTCTAACTTCTCTTTCAAGAAGATGATCTCGGAGTCTTTGAGCTTGCTCTGACTGTCCAATTTTTTTCCGGTGATTTCGTACATTTGTAAGAGATTCTTCTGTTCTCGAATTTCAGCCAACAAGTGAGTGGTTTCGGGGGAGTTGTCGTCAAGATGTTTCTTCAAGAATGATTGCTTGAACTCCGATAAACTCTTGAGTTCCGAGACCATGATCTGATCGGCCGACTGAATTCCTTCAGCGTCATATGGAGATTGAGCATACTGCAACTGGGCATATGCAGCTTTCACGGATGAGACGGTGGCAAAAACCTTGGCAATAAACGCATCCATCGCTGCTCTCTTCTGAAACTCGTCATTTTCGTCACTAAATAACTTCTTTCGCTCATCATCATTCTTGACCTTTTCAGTTACCTTCAATTTCCGACTCCGATCAGCCGTTGCAGCTCGAATATGCAAAACTTTGGTAAAAGTACGAGCCAATCTGGTCTTACTTGGGGTAAGAGCTGATTGATTAACTGAATCCATCTGAAATGAACAATTTGGCAATGATTATTGAGGGAAATTGACGTGGTTGTCTAATGATTTATGCAATATGATTCATATTTCAAAGAGGAAAAGGAAGTGAAGATGATGATAAAGACTTGCCACAATGATGAAAGCAAATAGAATTTCCTTTAAATAAGAGAAAAAGTAGTATGCTTTTAAGGGCTTTTTGATTGGTTTTCCATTAAATACACTAAGGATAAAGTTGGTTGTGTCAATTAATATGTCTGTATAGATTGAAAAGATTTTTATTCATGTAACTTGTTTTTTTTAGGGGTGGGGGACAAGTTTGAACATAAAGCTCACCCCAGAAGTTCCATTTTCTATACTCTATTAAGCCACTACCAAACAGTCATGTATGGTCGACTAAATAAGTTATGAGTTTCATTAAGCTTAATTAAGCTTTTTAGCACAAACAGGCTCTAAGTCTTGGATCAGAACCAGAAGAAACAAAAGGATGAAGATGAATAAAAAGAAGGATATAAAGAGGCAAAAACTTGTTTTTGATTGCTTAAAAAAGATTTGAGTTGAAAGATGAGAGAGACCAATGTGACCCACACTCTACAGAACAAGTTAATAGATAGTTTAATATCAAGATCCACTCACATTTTCAATTTTTATATGACACAATTTATTAAAAATTCAAAGTAAATATTCTTCAATTCCCATTTCCAACCGTTGGTTGAAAAGGGCCATGACCAATGGCATAAGTTGGATATATACATATAGTATGGTGACACGTGTTACCTAACCACGGAGGAACAATACAATGACACGTATCACCTAACCACCCTTTTAGGTCCGTCTATGTTTCACTTATACACGGCATATATAAGAGAGGGTATAAATAAAATTGACCGATCACAATTGGGGGGAAATAGTCCCTTAAATCTTTCTTGGATTCTCTTTAAAGGACATAGACTACTCACGATTACAATGATGTTGATTCTGCCCTAGCTAGTCATCATTCTGACACACTTTAAAAACCATAAATCTCTACCAATGGTGGTAATGGTGCAGCATCTAGTAAAGTTGGAATCAACATTCTTCATCAACCCAATCGCCACATACCTTTTTCATGGTAACCAATACGTAGTAGGTCGCACCGATTAATTCAGGAAGTGATCAGGAATGGTCCGAAGTCATCGCGTATGAACCTTTATAGCTATGAGGTTTTTTTATTATCAACTAACTGCAATTACACTATTATTATCATCATCTTTTCACTTATTCTACATGCCATCCATCTTTTTAGCTATCGTAAACATATTACTAAAAATATATAATAAAGATAAAAAATAATGAATGACTAAGATGTGGTTGTGTTAGTTATAACAATTAGAAATGTTGTATAGTAAACCACCTCTATATATACAACTCCTCCGCTCATGCACTTTACCTCTTTTAAAAAGTAATGAAATATGACTTCACATATTTCATATGGTATCAAAACTGGTGTCTCTAATGAATTTCTTACTAAAAATAATATATAATTTTAACTTCAAATTAAAAAAAAAAAAGCATGCAAAACATATTTATGTCAAGCAATAACAGTACAGGAGCGTAGTACTGAATAAAACAGATTTTAATCATTTCCAAACGCATTCAGTAGAAGTTTTTTACCAGGGGTAAAATTTATAACAAACATAAAGTTACAAAAATGGTGGGGTCAGCAAATCATACAGTACTACGATAATGACCAATTTCTTATTTGGAAATCGTGCAAAATAACAAAAAAAATTAACCAAATTCACTTTTTAATAGTTTTTTAAATTAAATTTTCATGTCAAAGTGTAAGTAATGTCGTACATATTTATGTGAACTCGATTTTCAAAGTAAACCGAGAGTGTTAATTGATAAGTGAATGTGAACTCTTAACACATATTATATTTACTAGATAAATTATTGTATATGATAACATTTATTGAAATAAAACTTATTTGATAAATAAATTATAATGTTGAATTTTATCGATAAATATTTATTTACGTTTAATAAACCTCCTCTAAATTTTGATTGGAGATATTCGCTATTTTGGTCGCTTTTAATTTTATCGATCGAGGAGCCCCCTACACCATTATCCCCAAATTACAAAAACGCAACAGTGGGAAAGAAAATTAGGTATGTCAGGAACTTGATCACGTGCCGATCAGCTGGTCTAACTCTTGCAAATACTGCTGCAACACTGTCTCTAACATGTGGTTGTCCACACAATAAAAAAGCACACCGACTAACTCAGAGTGTGTAAAGAAGAAACCACATTCGTCTACATGCAAGTGCAGTATAATAAATGAAGGAACACAATGAATTCTTAACGAAGAATTACCGTTTCCCGACGAGAAATTGCAACAATAAACGTAAACTCAAGGTAGCATAAATACCTTTCCTCTAATGGCGACCAGTGACTACCTCAATCGGAGAAAAAAACAAACAGCTACCTTCAGAAACAGAAGTGGAGACGCAATTTTTTCCGACACACCTGATAAAATAACTCAAGGTGTAAGAGAAAGTGAAACGTGATTTAAGACCCTAATTGTAGTTTCATCCTCGATATATAGCCAGTCGACGAACAGATGACTTAATAAAATAATGATTAGCTATAAACAGTAGTGTTCTAGAATATTAAATACACGTTAATCAACTAAAGAACAAAAAAATTCCACGAAGAAGGAAGAAAAACTATTAATAAAATGCAGTTGCAGAGTGAAGCGACATGAAAATTCCGTCTGAACCGAATACTTACCAAATCAGGGGAAGGAAACTTCAAGTTAGAGAGTTTAGGTGGAATTGAACATTTGTTTTTATCTCCAGCAGCAAGTAGACGAAGGAAATGAGGATTTAGGAGGTAGAAGAATGGGGATTTACAGAGAGATTTGAGGTCATCAATGGCGGAAATTTAGAAAGATGGGGGAGAAGGCGACTGGAAGGAAGGAAACAGGAGGTAAAATGTCGGGGTTTAGAGGAAACATTGGGAATTTAAAAAGCTCCAAGTTAGGTTTGGCTCGTGTTGTTTGGTTTTACTGTTTTGTCCTTGATGGGTTTTAGGGAGTTGGTCAAGGAGCTTTGTTGTGAAGGGGCAGGTGTGGTAATTTTACTTATAAAATAGTGGATACAGAGAGGGTTGGGTTGGACCCACTATCTTGGATACTGCGGTACGAGTTAACTTATCGTTCGTATAATCGTATGCTATACCTTACAAAAATTACGCGGACTGTTAGGAAGTTGTTGAATGGTTTGGTGTAAAATGATTAAGTGGTCAAATGATTAAGAGGTTTTCATGATATAGTGCAAAATGATATATAATTGTTTGGTAATTATTTATAATGAAATTATGACGCTTAATGATTAAGGGAAGTTCATGATATAAAATCATTCACAGACATTTTTTTTATCAAACAAGATTCACCTCTTAATAGAACTATTAAGAGATAAACAAACAACCTCATAGTCTCATAAAAAATATCACCGTATTAACTTCTTGTGTTTTATCATATATGACATAAGTTTTTTTTGTATAGTTGGTTTGCATGACTTTTCTCTTAACCTAGATCCAGGTTCAAATCCTTTTGATATCATTTTCTTAGTTTTTAACTTTTAATTTCAGATTTATTATGGTTTTGATTTTTTTTTATAATAACATACATGAACACATGACCTCACATATATTTATTTCTTATAGTCAAATTGTACTACCACTTGCAAAAAAATTATCCGCATGTAGATACATACAGTAGCCTTGTTATAGAACCTCTTTTTTATGGTGAAATCGAGAGAAATTGACGTATGTGACTGTCTAAGTTATACGGACGTTCGGCATGGTGGATCCAAAATATTCGGTGAGTAGGGGCACATTTAAAGATGTAAAAAAATTGAAGCTAAATAACTCATCCAACCCAAAATGGTTTCATGTTATTTAGGGGGTGTTTGATAAGAGGTATTAAGCAGTAATTAATGAGAATGAAAATAAAAGAAACTGTTTGGTTTTTTATAATGTAGTTGGCTCATTCTTCAAAAGCCCAAATTTTCATTTCAGGTTAAACTGAGAGGAATGAAAATCCATTCCCATTTTCATTACCTGTTATTTTCATTTTCATACTCATATTCATTTTCATTCCTCTGTCTGAACCAAACGCCCCCTTAGTTTGTAGATTAAACAGTTTGTGTTTTTCGATATATTTTACTATATCGATTAAACCGAAAAGTACATTATACCATTCTCCAAAAAAAAAAAAAACTCTAAAAAATGGGACAATGGGGGACACAAAACCAAAAAGATGGGGGCAATAAGGTAAATCGGAAGAAAATTTTAGGATAAATTTTTATATTTTTGTTAAGATCTTGGCTTCACTTGGGGCCTTCGCCCCACCCCATAAAGGTTTGTCTATCACGGGTATAAAAACAATTTATTGACTTATTTTGGTGTAATACAGGTAATAAATACTTTTGAGTATTTGGATAAACAACTTATACCAGTGTCAAACCGGTAATTATAAGTTTTTAAAGAAGTTAAACCCTTCTAACTTATAATAAATTGATAAATGTTTTTGTAAAAAAAACATAAGTTGTTTCAAATAAGCAATCCCAAACACCCCTTTAGTAAGTAGAGAGGTTCATTAAGATTGTTTTTTTGATAAATTAAATGATAAGTTATCTCTTTGTTGAAAGAGTAGTTGTTGACTGAAAAATTGGTTAAAACTAGTCATGTTTGGTTAAAAAAAAAACATCTGGATAATTAATGTATAATAATCTAAAAGTCATGTTGAAAGTTACTCAACTTTAACAGTATTTGATATAATTAAAACAAGTCATTAATACATTTTATCATGTTCACATAAGATATTTCTTGTACCAACCATGTTCTTATTGCACTCGTTTGCCATGCATCAAATTGACTCGCTCTGATACAAAATGCCACTAACTTGTTTCCACGGGGGACGGAATAAAACTAAACATTAAAATTGAGATGTATCTCACTGCATTGTGCGAGTACCATTTTAATAATAAATAATGGTAATAGTAATATATGATAATATGGACATACGATCATCTCTAATAAATCTTTCAAAATGAAGAATTTTGACAAATTTTTGTTCCAAAAAGTTATTTCTAAACTTTCTAAAAAATGAGAAATAAACAGTTTTTTACCAAGAGAGATAAACAGTTTTTTATTGTATTACCAGTACCACCAATAAGGATTTTGAGGCTAAATTTTTATAAGGAAAAACGATGTTTTATTGCATGTATAAAATGTAATAACTTAATTAATGTTGTAATTTATATAATAAAAAATACATAGAATTGAATATACTTTTTTCAAAAGATTTTTAGTTTTAATTTTCATTTGAAAAATCAATTAGAAATGCTATAATTTTTTTTTGATTAATCTGGATATCCAATCTGCTATGTGAGTCGGCTAACATTGTGGTTAAAATAAAATAAAATAAAATGAAGATTCATAAAACTTAATAAACCCCTACGACTTCAAGTAGAACATTGTTTGGATTTGAATTTCAATAACAACATCAATTAATACATTATGATTATTTGACATATTTATTATTATTAGATACAATATAACCACTCCAATGGATATTTAATCAACATAAATAAAACTATTTAAATAAAGATTCCAGTAAATAAGAAAACATTATATTTTGTAATTATTTTAACACATAAATAGCTATTGTGTTCTCTAAATGGAACATTACTATAATAATGTTAGGTACAATTTTTTATATAATAACTTAATTGAATTTTTTAAAATTATAATTGATTAAAAAAATTTTAAGTTAATATATTATTAATAAATTGCAATTATACTGATAACACAACATCTCATTTATTATTAAAACTGGAACATATGGGAAAAAAATATATTATGAACAATAACAGCTTACGTCTAATTATTAAAAGCAAAATAAAAAAGCAGAAAACTGAAACCGAGTTTGAAGAAAACTTAGATGAAAATTAACTAAAAAAAATTCGTTTTCTCAATTATATATCGTCATTTGCGTCTTTTCGTCATACAGTCTGTTGAAACCAGTTATCGTTTTCTTTTATTTAAATGTCTTTTTTCTTCATCTTGACCTTTTTTATCTACTCCATTTTCTTCAGTACGAAAAAATACACCTCCACGTATCAAAAAACAATATTCCTTCACGTATTTCCTTACCTCTTTGGTTCTGCTTGAATATCTAACTGCCTCTGAACTTCTTAGACATCAGTATTGTTATCTTCGACAACATTCATAATTTTGGTGACCAGTATAACATCCAAGTTTTGTTCAATCACAGAGTCATTATGAGACAAAATATGATAACAAGTCAGATCCAACAATGGTGATCTGTTTTGCTTTCGAGGGTTTTGATAAAACATATATTTAATGAATAATTTTCGATGTTCATAAAACATTTTTTTACTGTTTTATACATAAGATGTACTGGGATTGACGTATTTCGAAGTTGCTAATCGTATTTCATAAACTTAGACGGTCCATTAATATATATATATATATATATATATATATATATATATATATATAGGGGCCTAATSAAATGAGAACTAATTAGTTTGTGGTAACTGTGAGAACCAATATTAACCACAAATCAATAGATAAATTAGGAAATTTATAATTTTGGCAATTTTGAATTAAAATATTAATGCAAGGATATTTTTGGTATTTTAAAATTTTCCTCTCTCCTCTCTTCTCTCTCCGGCCACCGTCCGCCGTCCTCCGGTGATACTACAATGGTATCACAATGCATCATATATGTGCTTGGGTATCACATTGATGTCGTTTGTGTGGTCGATCGAAGATGTAACACAGTGGTATCACTATGCATCTTATATATGATTAAATATCACAATGTATCTTTTGTTTAACAGAGTCAATATTTTTAGGTATCACAATGTATCTTTTGTTTAACGGAGTCAATATTTTTAGGTATCACAGTGGTATCATAGTGGTATCACCGGAGGACGGTGGCCGGAGGCCGGAGAACGGTGGCCGGAGAGAGAAGAGAGGAGARAGGAGAGTTTTAAAATACCAAAAATATCCTTGCATTAAGATTTTAATTTAAAATTACCAAATTTATAAATTTCCTAATTTATCTATTGATTTGTGGTTAATATTAGTTCTCACAGTTACCACAAACAACTCAGTTCTCCCTTGAATAGGCCCCTATATAAGTAATAAAAAAACTTGTGTAAAAATTAAATGTTCAAAATATCATTTAAAATTAAAAAACTAACTGAAACAACTAAGCTTTCCACCGTATTTCACTTTTAATCACGTTTTAAATGTAATTCCCTAAATAACCGGATTTTACGTAAATGAATTTATACAACTTGTATCCTTCCTCCGGATTCTTTCTTTGATAATATGTCCTAAGCCCCTTTTAGAAGACCGAAGTCATTGGTGCTTTCCATTAGAGGTAAGAGCGCCACCAACTACCGCATATTTGGTTCGTAGTTTTTTAACTTATAATCCACTTTTTCTTTTTTCTTTTTCACACAAGCGGACTCATTTTTACGTAAAAGGTAGATTACGCAAATTACGTAAACCCTTTTGTGTAAAACATGGCAATTTTAGAAATTACAATGAAAAATAGCTATAAAACAGGGGTGTGCATCGGACGGATTTGGGTAGGCAAATAAAAAACCCGATCGGATTTCAAATATGGAAATCAAGCCTCGATTTTTTGTGTTTCAGATTGATTTAGGCTCGGGTCGGTCGGGTTTCGAGTTGAGATTGGTTGGGTTCACGTTTAATTAATGTAAAATATATATATATTCAATCGATTTTGAGGATGAATACAATCAACACCAATTATTATTTTAGAATTTTCAAAAGATAATTAGATAAATAAATATACTTACACAATATATAAAATATATATGTATATATAGTTCGAGTTTTCGGACGTCGGGTGATTGTTTGAAAAATCAATCCCAACCTGAACCCAATTTTCCCCCCAAAAAAATCGGTTTTCTGCTTTCTGAATTTCAAAACATTTAAATTTTATATAAATACCTTATTTTCGATTTGGAATAAGATTGCATTGTAAAACAAAATATAACAAAGGAATAAGGGGTTGTTTGGCAATTGCTGAATGATTTGGTATAAAATGATTAAGTGGTTAGAATGATTAAGAGACTCTTATGATATAATGCAAAATGAAATATAATTGTTTGATAGTTGTGTACAATGAAATTAGAGCTCTTAATGGTTAAGGGAGATCCAAGATACAAAATCATTAAGAGGGTTTTAGAACTATTAAAAGACATACTTTTTTTTGCCAAATAAGATTCTCCTTTTAACGATTCAGATATTATCTTTTGATATAACTATTAAGAGGTAAACAAACAACCCTAATAATTTCTGTTTATATCATATTTTTTTTTTGAAAAAAAAGTAGACCACAAAGTTAAAAATGGATGCTTTCCCTCCTTATTTTTTACACTCTCTTTTAATCTACCGCGATAAAGAAAAGGAAAAATGAAAAGAAAAGAAGGAAAAAGGGAACCAGAAAGTAGAGAGAGAGAGAGCGAGCTCATTGAGAAGTGTGAAGTTTGTAGCAGAGAAGAGAGCAATTCAAGGTCTGGTTGATTTGGGGTTTGAACACAGTAGCAGTATCAGAGGAAGATCCATTGAACAACCAGACCTTCACTTCACATCCGTAAAGCCTTTTGCTGATCGACCACAAGTCTGATCTCCTTTTCTCCCATGAGAGAAATGAGGGTTTCAGCTTTTTATCTGATTTTCTCAACCTTCGTCTACATTTATGTGTTCCAGTTTCAAGCTCAAGCCGCCCCTGCTGGTATGGTCTCTCTCACATTCGAATTTATGTGATTCGATTTTATTTGTGCTTCACGTATTCATGATTCCGTCGTGTTTAATCAGCTCCGGTGATTAAGCAATTATCTTCGATTCTTAAGTGGACAGCTAGGTCTTCATCTAAATCACCATCATCAGGTATTTTTATTATTATTTCTAGGCGTTGTTAATTTTTTTTTGATTATTTTATTGTCATTCCATCCGGGTATAGTATTAGATGTTTAGTCAAGAACCCTAGATTTTTCCAAATATTCAATTGATTTGTTAAATAGAAAGTAAGTGGAATTTGTGATGATTTATTTGTTGATAAAGTGGATGACATTTCAATTATTTATTTTGGATCAACAGATGGGAATATTCTCCAGTTTGAGGATGGGTATTTGGTAGAAACTGTTGTCGAAGGGAATCAGCTAGGGGTTGTGCCTTATTCCATCCGGGTCTCGCAGGATGGTGAACTATTTGCTGTTGATGCAGCCAACAGTAATATCGTTCGAATTACTCCTCCATTGTCTCAATGTAAGCTCATTTTCAAATTAAAAGAAGACCTTTATGATTAACTAGCCTCCTAAATTTAACATTATTCTGCTATGTTAAATAATTTAAGAAGAAGGGTGTAATCTAAAAGGACGACTGCAATTGTCTTGATTCACAATGTCCATATATGGTCTCTTGAAGGTCTTTGCTTTGTGGGTGATGCATCTTATGCGATTTCACTTGCTCATTCTGGCTGTTCCCAATAACTTCTCAATACAGATAGCAGGGCAAGATTGATTGCTGGGTCCTTCCAGGGTTACACTGGACATGTTGATGGAAAACCAAACGATGCTCGCTTTGATCGTCCTAAAGGGGTTACTATGGATGATAAAGGGAATGTTTATGTTGCTGATACCTCTAATCTTGCCATTAGAAAGATTGGTGAAGCAGGTTTGACATTGATTTCATCTCGTAGATATAAAATAGTTTAAAACTAGATGATCATAACTTTAGATCTTGAAATAGTTCAGCCCGTTGATTTCACCTCATAGATATGAAATAGTTCAATCGGTTGATTTCACCCCATAGACGTTAAACAGTTCAATCGGTTGATTTAGCCTTATAGATATGAAATAGTTCAATAGGTTGATTATAACTTTAGATCTTGAAACACTAAAACTGAGGTAGGATAACTTTTCTTGTTTAACCGCTAATGCCCTTTGTCATAACTTTTGGAAGCTCATTGACATTTGAAACCTTTTGGAAAATACTTCAAGTGTACCTCACAGATTCATTGTAACAACCCTCACATCTCAAATACATATAATCCACATCATCATACTCATAATACTAAAATAGTATTATTACAAAATATGAACTATCAAAATGTATTTTTAATACATAAGCATAACAAGCTAATATCAACAATTAGACTTTTCCCTTGCCTTTATCTTT